TTGTGGAGACACAGGGCATTGGGGAAGACAGTGTATTAGAGGAGCCTATTGGGTGTTAGAGGAGACAGAGAGTGTGAGGGGAAGAGGGCTTTCCAGTAGAATGGAGGTTCCTCAAGGGCAGGGGCTCTAGGTATTTAACAAGTATTTGTTGAATACATGAATTCAGGGAGGCCTAAGGAGTTTGGAGAAGCACAAGGTGATAGGGGAGGCACCAGATAATCAGGGAAGCAAAAGAATCAGGGACCATAATTCAATTTAATGCTAATTAAGCATCTATTATGTACAAGGAACTCTGCTAAATGTTGAGGATATAAAGGCAAAAGCAAAACAGTCCCTGCCCTCAGGAAGCTTATACTCCACTAGGGGGATACAATATCTGCACAGATAAATAATTTGAGGAGAAAGAGAACACTGTTACCTGAGGAAAGGATAGCATTCAGGGAAGGTTTCCTAGAGGAAGTGGGCGCTGAGCTGAACTGGATGGAATTCTTAGAGGCAAAGGTGAAAATAGGAGGGAGGGGGGGAGTACATTTAAGGCATAGAAGAGTGCAAAAAGTATGGAGGCAGAAGAAAATGTTTAGTACTGGGTACAAGTTAGGGTGCAAACTACAAGTTTGGTTGGAATCTACGGTATATGATGGGGGAAAATGTCAAACGAGCCAGAAAAAGTAGATAGGAGCCTGTTTGTGGGAGCGTTGTCTGAGGAATTCTTATTTTATTTTGGTGCAATGAGAAACCATGGAAGGATTTTTTTAACAGGGAAGGGACATGGGACATGTGCCTTAGGAATATCATTTTGGCAGTTGTGTGGAGGATGGATTGGGGAGGGGGAGGAAGGAAGCTGGGAAATCAATTATAATAGACCAGCTGATAAAGGCCTGAAATTGGGTGGGCCGTTTAAGGGAAAAGATCTGAATGGACATGGCTACTTTTTGGACATGGAGATCATGGAAGCAGAAAGGGTCAAGGGTGACTCTGAGGTGGCAAACCTGAGTGATTGGAAGGACAGTGGTGCCCTCCACAGACATCAGGAAATTTGGGTCAGGTGGGGGACGTTGAATTTGTGTTGGGGCACCTCAGAGATGTTGGCCAAGCTGGACTAGAGTTCTAGTCTGGGGGACAGCTTTGGGCTAGTCACCTGCATAGAGATAATTGAAGCTGATGAGCAGATGAGCTCACCAAGGGAAAGAGTTTAAAGGGACAAAAGATGACACAGACAGAAAGAATACTTTTCTCACGGCCTTCTGCAATGACTTTTGCAAGTATTCCTCCCATTTTACAGACAAAACTATGAGGCCCGTAGAAATTAAATGACTTTTCCAAGGTCATGTGGATAATAAGTATCAGAGACAGGCTTTGCATTCTAGTGCATCCTGACTCTGGGTCTCACACTTTTCCCACTAAACTGTACAAGGCATTATGGAAGACAGAAGGCTGGGTGGGATGAGGGGTGTCATAGGCAGCATAGGACATTGGTGGAGGCACAAGGTACTTGAGGAGACAGGGTATTAGGAGGGCACATGGAAGTTAGAAGAGGCATGGTATCTTAAGAGTGGCACAGGGCATTGGGGAGATAACAGTATGTTACAGGAGGTTCAGTGTTGGGGGAAGTAATAGGGTTTTGTAGAATGCACAGGTCAGCAGGAAAGGAAGAAAGGCTTAAGGGGGGCTTAGAAGGTTGTGGGAGGTAGAACACTGGAAGGTCTGCGATGGGGAGCAGAGAGGGTTATAGGAGCCAGGAGGCATTCAAGGAAGCAGCTAATATTATAGGAGGCACAAGATGTCAGGCAGCAACAGGTTGGAAAAGCACAAGGTGTTCTAGGAGGTACCCGGCATCTGTGCAGACATGAGACATCCCAAAGGGCACAGGACAGACGCTATGGGGAGCAAAGCACTGGTGGAAACACAGGCAATTGTCACCAATGGTGTTCCTGGAGGCCTAGGACATTGGATGGGGGGCAGAGACTGTGGGAGGGGCAGATTACAGGGATTGAGGGGGACATGATAATGCCTTAGCGCTGGTACAGACCATCCATCAGCAAAGTCACAAACAAGACTTTATTTAAACACAAAATGTTAAGAGGTATGGGGTACATAGGTTGTTCCAGGCATATGCATGTGCAGAATTTATGACAAAGGGCCTATGCATAAACCAAGCTTGTAGGTCAAACCTGGGGCCAAGAGGACCTGGGGTTGGGCCATCCAGTCCAACCCTCTGCTTCGGGCAGGCTCGGGGCACCCACAGCATGGCCTCAAATAACTGCCAGGCTGAGCCCATGAGAGGGAAGGAGCTTTTCTAAAAATGGCTGGGCTGGGCCCCGCAGCTGGGACTCAGGCCTGTCACATGCAGGTCTAGAATTAGAATCACCCTCCTCTCTCCAGCAGGCCCATAGCCTGAGCCAGAGTGAAGGCAGTATTGGGGATAAATGGACTTGTCTCTATAGGAAACCCTGAGTCCAACAGAGAGATGGGAGATGTTAATAAAATTCTCAACTCCCCTCCTGCCATTTACAACGTGTGGGACCTTGAAGGCAAGCCTCTTAACATTGCTGGGCCTCAGTTTCCTCATCTGTAAAATGGGGGGAGCGTAAAATGCAAGGGTCCAGACAGCACACAGCCCTTTCAGGGAGCAGCAAAAAGAATCAGGTACCTAGGTCTGGATGCTATTTCTGTAAGTGTGCGACTTTAGGCAAATCACTTCCCCTCTCTGGGTCTCAGTTTGCTCATCTGTAGGATGGAGCTAATATGCCCACTCCCTCCCTCAGAGGGTTGTAGTGAAGAAAGTACTTTGTGAGCTGCAAAGCACCACAGAAAAGGGAGCTCCAACCCCTCCCCCCCCCCCCCCCCCCCCCCGCTACCTTTGGATATTTACATCTCTTCCAAAATGATTCTGACTCGCATTTACTGTGTGGCCTAGAACAAGTCACATCCTGTCTCTGGGCCCAAGTTTCTTCATCCCCTTATTTTTAAGATCCTATCTAGTTCTGACAATCTAAGTTGATGAAGACATAGTTAGAAAAATTTCTCTTCTCAGGAACCAGAGATGTTTCTGAAAGAGTCCAAAGAGGGTTTAAAGACTGGACCTGGGAGCTGATTGATACAGAAAAATCCTATCACCCAAGTTATATAGGAGGCAGGTTTTATTTCAAGGTAAGCAAAAGGGATAGGAGTTGGTGCTGTGATTTACAGGACTGCTTCCTGTGTGAATGGGGAACTCCCTCCACCAATGCAGGTAACCACCAAATCATTCACACACACCCAGGGTCACACAGCCTGGTCTTCCTGGGTCCTAGGTCGGCTCTCCATTGGCTTTGCCACGATGCCTCTAGAGTCTACAGAACAAGACGAGGTTCTCCGTGGACATGGAGACAGTCACACACACAGAGACTGGAAGACACACCAACACCCAAAGGAGAGACAAACAGAAGCATGAATTTTAAAGAAGAGGAGGACAGACAACCAGGTCCTCGTCTGTGCTTTCAAAAAAACCCAAAAAACCAGCCGTCAGGCCAGACGGGTTGAACACACTTTGCTACTTCTAAAGAACCAGCAGGCCCATTACCACTAGAAGGAGGTTAACTGTGGGCCCCCCTGACCCGGGAAATTCATTTTTATTGGGGGTGGGGAGGAGCATTAGCATCAGTGCAGTGGACAGCCTGACCCATGCAATGCAGTTGTTTGGGGGAGGCAGCTGTGCCCACTCAAGACTGTGGGGTAACCTGGGGCTCCACAGTGATAACAGAACTAAGGGGTGGTGCCACATCCCTTAGCCCCTGCTGATGCCTTTCCCCCACTAGTTAGGACTCTGTGGCGAAAACTTCCATGGGTGAGAAGGATAGGTCTCCAATATTCAGGGGAGGGGGAATCTGCCTGTTATTAGCACTAAGCCCCCCAGATATGGTCCTCAGATATCCCCATGAAAGCAGCAGGTATGCAAGGGACTTAGACTTTTGGCTTTGAGGGAGAAAAGATTTGTGGATGACTGGGATTTTTTTAAGCCCTTAGCTTCCACAGTCAAGGCCATGAGAAGACACTCCCCCCCTCTCCACCACTTGCAGATGTCCCCTGCACCAGGGGAAGACGGTGTACTGCTAGGGAAGGGATATGTTCGATGAGGGCAGGTGAATGGGCTCACTTTACCTTAATGAGGTTTAACACTTGCTCCAATGAATAAAGGAAGGAGAGGTAAAAATTTTATTTCTTCAAACAATTTTGGAGGATTGTGTGGCTAGCCTGGTGGGGGTCACAGATGGAGAACTCTAAACATCAGGCCACACTCAGACTCTGTTCCCCCTACCATCCTCTTCCCCAATCTGACTGACATCTCCACACATACTGGATGTTGACTTTTCATCAAATGCTCTCATCTACTAAGGCTTCCACAGCCACTTCTTTTGAGTTAAAAAATGAAGTTTGCTGCTCAGTCTCTCAACTGTGCTCATGGGGAGAGATGAAAGCCTTAGTTCTAGGTTGGATGGAACTCAACAAGGTTGGGGTATAGGAGGCAACCAGTCTGCTGTGTCTGATCCCCATGTCCTTGCCACTCCCGCCTCCCCACCCCACTCCATTGACTTTTTTTTTTAATTTTTTAGGCAGTTGGGGTTAAGTGACTTGCCCAGGGGGTCACATAGCTAGTAAGTGTCAAGTGTCTGGTCTGAGGCTGGATTTGAACTCAGGTCCTCCTGACTTCAGAGCTGGTGCTCTATCCACTGTGCCACCTAGCTGCCCCTCCATTGACTTTTAATAATGAAGTTAAAGAGGACATTGGCTGCCAGTTTTGAGTGGTGTCCGGGTCAGTCAATGATCCAAGAAAACAAGTGGAAGGTGGGGAAAATCAAATCCCCATCAAAATCCACCTCTCATTTAGGATAGTCCTCAACAAGTCAATTACTCTCTCTGAGCCTCAATTTCCTCATCTATCAAATGGGAATAATACTTACATACACTATGCCCCTCCCAAGGCTGTTGTGGGAAGTGTCTGTAAACCTTAATGCACTATAGACACGGGAGTTATGTTACTTTTATTCCAAAGGAATGACTATTTACAAAGCGATACATGCTAGGGGGTAAAAGCTAGGATAGTTAACCAGGAAGGTCAGAGGCATCTCGTGAAACTGGTAAATCTTTTAACTGCCCCATTGCCACTGCACATAGAAACTCATTGGAAACTCATTATCATCAAATATTAACACTCGACATCACATCAATCACCAAAGCCTTTGTCTCGCCAGGGGTATTTATGAAAAAGAGCTATTGGGAGGGGATGTGGAGGACCCTGGGCTTTGGTCTGGGGTTGTGGGTAGGCTTGCTAGTTTAGTTGAGCAATAGGTCTGGGATTGGGCCCCACAATCCAAACAAGGTGGAGGCTAGAGCACTCATCTCTAGCCGCCATCCTGTGGATCCAAGGCAAGCTCTGTCCACTGCCTTCTGTCCCAAGTCTGGGGTGCCACTGTTTAGCAAGCTCAGCAGACACATCCTTGGGTCCCATCAATGTAAGGCACTGAGTTCTAGGGTCTCTAGTCCCCAGCCCAGAACTCCCAAGGAACAGGAGTATCTGTCCCTGAAACTCTCCGTGTGCCCTCCCACCCCGGCCCCTTGTGGTTTAAATGTCCTCAGTCCCAGGATTCCACTGCAGCAGAGGGCATGTATGAAGTCAGCCTCTGTCTCCAGTCGTCCTCATTTGGCTATGGCCTTGGGCCTGATACCTGTAGGGAAGGAAGAAGAATAAATAGTTTTGTTAAGAGGGACCCTCCTCTTCTTCCCATCCTCAGCAAGCCGCTGAGCCATCCTCAGTGGAGAAGGGGCACAGTGCAGCTTGAAGTGGGGAAAGACCCCTTGTTAGTGAGAATGTCAGCCAAGGAGAAGCGGACACAAGGACACTGCACCTCCGACTCTGCTTCAGCCTAAACAAATGGCTTCACGATTTTCCAGCAAAAATCTGAGAGTAATTTCATTCAGCCTTCAATCATTTTACTTCCCATTCTTAGGATGATAGGAAGGAATCTTAGAGATCACCCAGTCCTGCCCACATATTTTACAGAGGAGAATGAGGCTTGGGAAAGGAAAGTGGCAATATCAGACACAGCCAGTATCAGAACTGAGATTCAAATCCAGATCTTTAGTAGACTTAGAGGATCTGGGTTCAAAGCACAGCCTTGCTACTTACTGCTTCTGTGACCCTGAGCAAATCATGATTTCCTGGGGCCTCCGTTTCCTCCTAGTGAATCCATTCAATAAAGCTTAGCAGTGATAGGCTAGAAAGAAAGAACTAGCCTATTGACGGACCTGGAGTTGCGTTTGCCTCCGTGCAGGAGAGGAACAGTCAGCAAAAGCAAGACCAATGGTTACCTTAACATGGAAATGATGGCATTTTAAGATAACCAGCAATCTTTCCTCATCTGGGGAGTCAGAGAGGGGAGAAGATAAGGAAGGAGGGAGACGGGGGAAGAGGAGTCCGACCAGCTCCCAACATCACATGTTTGCCACCAGCGGAGAAGCCTGCCAGCTCCCAGGGGAGAAGCACCACGTTAGCAGAGGGTCGTCGGCACAGGACTGGGGAGAGCAATGTCACCATTGCTACCCAGGTTAGTCGACAAGAAGCATTTCTGGCTGTTTACCTACCTCACTGGACCACACAATGCCATTTTGTTTTATCATCTCCAGAATCAGAGTCAACCTCTGCTTTTGAATAAAACACACATGAGATAACCTTGTCACAAAGAGTCAAAACCAAACCAAACCAAAAAACGGGACCTGTAGTTCTGTCTGAGAAGGCAAACTCCCTGAGGACAGGCAAACAAGGGAGACAAAGGGGCTCTACACCAGCGATGTCAAACTCAAATAGAAATGGGGCCACTGATCCAGACATATGCTGGCCACGTATTGACTTAACCTTAGCGTGTAATGTTGTCTGTTTTGTTGTATTTTTATTTACTTTATTACAATTTTCCAATTGCATTTTAATCTGGCTTGGGTGACACTTGGGAGTGTTATAGGAACCTCTGCTCTACACTATGCAATAAGAATTCAACAAACACTTAAGAAATGGCTACTGTGTGCAGAGCCCGGTTCTTGGCCCTCTGGACAGCTTGAATTCTTTTCCATGCAAGGTCTGGAAAGCAATAAGAACTTATAAATATATAGGTTGGTGAGTGAGTACTGGGTATACCCTGAGATTTGTACCTGTCACCTGAGCCTTATAACAATCTTATGAGTGAAGCAGTGAATAAAGTGCATTGGCAGTCCCATTTTATGGATGAGGAAGCTGAGCCTGAGAGAGGTTTAGTGACCTGTCCCAGAATCAATAGAGCTAGGTAAGTGCCTGAGGTGGGTTAGAACTCAAGGACTTCCTGGCCCTTAGTCCAACCTTTCTATCTACTATGTGTTATTGTCACACTGAAAAAGAATGATAGGGGTGCGTGTGTATGTGTGTGTGTGTGTGTGTGTGTGTGTGTGTGTGTGTGTATTAGTATTAGTCATGAATCCCTATCCAGAAGATAAGGGGAAAGTGAATGAAGGTCCGAATTAGTGTTATACATGGTGTTGCCCTTCATGTATGAAAAAGAAATGAATGATGAAATGAAATGAAGTTGGCGTGTCCGTAGTGCTTTAAATTTTGCAAAACACTTTATAGGAGTTATTGCATCTGATCCTTACAACAATCCTGGGAAGCAGGTGTTGTAATTAACCCCATTTTGTAGATGAGGAAACTGAGGCTGAGAAAGGTTACATGACTTGCCCAGGGTCATGCTGCTAGTAAGCGTCTGAGGTCGGATCTGACCTCAGGTCTTCCTGACTCCCAAGTCTAGCATTGAGCCATAGCTGACTCACTAGGAGGATGGGCTTTACTGAGCATCCACACTCTCTTAAGCCTGGTCTCCCTTGTGACCAAAGACGTGTGTTTGTGAGAGGGCTGGCTGGGGTCTGGGTTCAGTCCAGAGGCTTAACTGTGTTCTAGCTGAGAACTGAGTTCCAGCTGGTATCCCCAGATACCCCAGGAAGACCAGGTACCGTATGCCCATACAAGAAGAAACACAAGGAATCAGCCGCTCTGACTTAGTGGAGAGGGCCTGGGAATGGACGAAAGAAATTACCTTCATGGCTCCTAGGATGACGCTTCTTCCTCCGCTTCCCAGACCCCTTCTTGGTTCGCTCCTGGGACCGAGGGAGGGTCCCAGAGCCGGAGGAATCAGTCACAGCCCCTTCAGAGAAAGACCTGTCCAGAGAAGTGTCCAGCACTGAGTCTGGCGCCGTGTCCTTTTCCTCTTCCTCCTCCTCCGCCTCTGGAGGATCTGGCTCCGCATCCTCGGACCTCTGACAGCCATGCTTGGGTCCCTCGGCTGTTCTGCCAGCCTGGTGCTCTGCAGCTTGATCCTCCGCTCTGGTGGCATCGACCTCACTGCCTATGTCTGTGCCCCAAGGGAGAGAGCCACTGGAAAACTTGATGGGCTTCAGAGACTTGGAGTCATCAAGCTGCACTATATGAGGGTCATCAGGAAAGCTGGTCATAGGTGTGGAAGCTTTGTTGCCCTCTGGGCTTGGGCAGCCATGGCCACTGACTTCAGAATGTCCTTTGGGGATCCCACCAATAGACGCAGGACCATCCGGGTTGTCCTGGTCCCGAGTCTCTCCAACAACAGCAGCAGCAAGGTCAAGGCCCTGCCCAAGCTTGGGGCTGTTGCCAGCATCCTTTATGGCTGCTGAGAATAAACATATGAATGTCAGGCAAGGTACAACCACTCCAGAGGGGGCGTGGTGCTGAATCACCCTTCGCTTGGCTTTATTCTGGGGGAAAAGGTCAATATAGCTACGTCCACCCCACCACATCAGGTTACTACTTGTATGTCAGCCTTCACTCATGTCATTGCTGTGTCCTGGATGTCTCTTCCCTCTTTTCCCCCCACCCACCAAGGCCCACCTTGAATGCCACTTTCTGTAGGAAACCCCACCCTGACAACCTTTCACCCTCACTCAGCTCTCCTTTCAGGGACCTTGTATTAGCCCTTACAGCCTGAGTCACACAGTCTTGGAGTGAACTCATGCTATATGTGTCATGTTTCCCACCTAATCTTAGAGCTCCCCTAGGTCAGGGATTGTTTGTCTTTGGACAGTAATGGACAACAAGGCCACTCAGACAGAGCCTCTCATGAAGGAGTGAGCTGTTAGGAGTTCTCAACTCAGGGGTCTCCACTTCACTTAGTTTCCATGAGGCATGCAATCACTGGCATCGGAATACCCTCTGGGGAATCATCTTCAAATATGTCTGCATAGTAATCAGGAGAATGAAGAGGATCATAAATGGCCCTTCACCGTCTTCTAGTTAAATCCCCCCATTTTACAACTGAGAAAACTGAGGCCCAGAAAGACTAGATGATTTGCCCAAGTCAGACAAGTAAGTTAGTGGCAGAGCCAGGCTCGAAACCCCAATCCTCTGACTCCAAATCCAGGACTCTTTCCCCTGTGTCGTGTGAATCACACCTAATTTTCAAAGAGTTTGCAGGTAACACACAGATAAACAATGCTGTGTGCTAGGGATTTGCCCAGATTTGACTGGTGCTCACCCTTGAAGGGCACTTCCGTACAATCTCCTGTCATTGACATCCTCAAGACTATAGAAGGACATTGGACAGGGGAGGAGTGGGTAGCACCTTTTTTTTTTTTAAGATTTTATTCTGAACTTAAGAAATAAAACAAGCATTTCCATAACATACTGGAATAGAAAAAAAAAGATGATTGCGCATGAAACTGCAAATTATGTATTAACTTGCTATTCCTTTCAAATATACAATAAAATTATCATGTAAATTTCCTTTTTTTTTCTCCCCTGATCTAGAGATGGCTACCATTAGACACAAATATGTGTGCATGTGTGTATATATATATATATAAAGATATATATACATATAAATATATACACACATACGTGTGTGTGTGTGTGTGTGTGTGTGTAAAATCATTCTATACATATTTCTACTTCTCAGTTCTTTCTCTGGATGCAGATAGTGTCTTCCTTCATAGGTCCTTTGTAGTTAATATAGGTAGGGCCTTAATAATGAAGATGATAAAAATAATAATAGATAGCATTCATGTGGCACTTTGAAGTTTACAAAGTGCTTTATATGTTACCTCATTTGGTCCTCATGAGGTAGGTACTATTATTATCTCTGGTTTTACAGTTGAGGAAACTGAGGCAGACAGAGGTTAAATGACTTGCCCAGGGTCACACAGCTAGTTCGTATCTGAGGTGGGATTTCCACCCAGGTCTTCCTAACTCCAAGTCCAGCACTTTCTCCACTCTGCCACTAGCTGTCCATATTAGTGGAGTAAAAAATCTGAACAGAGCCAGGGTCAGGCAAGTCCCTGGCTTTATCAAGGAGCTATCAATGCAAGGAAATGAGTCCAAGGTCAAGGCTAAAGTGGCACATATACCAGTCTGGAGTTGTTTGCTAGCAATTAATTATGTCCCCTGGAGGTAATTATGGACACAGTTTCAGCTGTTTCATAAGTAGGCTGCTGATACCTGTGAGCTTGGCAGCGCTGCAGAGACAGATTGCAGGTGAACCATCTTTCTGGTGCCGTAAAAGGGAGGTGGCTTGGACCTGGTCAAGGGCCTGGGTTTGAGACCAAAGCCCAGTGGTGGCATTGGGTTCCATTCCCTTCTTGCTTTTCTGAGTGAATCGTCTGGTTCCTTGAAGGTTCAGAACCCTGGCGGGTAGGGGGGGTGAATCCTGTCTAGGCATATGTAACAGAGAGCTGGAGACTTTGGGGAGCCCCAATAAGGCTTGTCTGCCTGACTGCAACTTGGGAGAGACAGAGCTAGGATTTGGTTCATCTTACTTGGAGGGCTGCCTGTGATGATACCCTGATCTCAGGTATGGCTTTGCAATCATTACTTGCTAAGTCTCAGCTGAGATGTTTTCATTTCTCCTGGTGAAGTTAATTAAAATGATAGGGAATAAGAGGTCTGGGACGAGTTTGGCTTCCTTCTTGCTCACTTTCTCTGTGCTCCCCTCCTATACCTTCCTCCTAATGAAAGGGCAACCTCAGGGCTCAGAGAGGAATTCCTCGTTAAAAGAGAAGAGAAGTACAAAAGATGGCAGGGCAGAGGTAGCAAAAATTCAACCAACCAACCAACCCAGTCTTCTTGAGCCCTGCTGCATGTCCAGTTGTGGGTTCAGCTGGAGGAATAAAGAGAGAACCTAGACCAAATCCAAGCCCTATTTTTGGTGAGTTGGCAGAATGGGGGACACTCAGGCCCTTTCCTCAGGGGTTTCTCAACTTGGGGGAGACAGGGCTTCATATATATTTATATGTGTGTGTATGTGTGTATATATACACATATTTGTATACATGTATGTGTATGTATATATGTATATGTGTATATATAATATGTATACATATATGTATAATCAAAGAGTCTCCAAATCCTAACAACAGAATTGTAGACCCCAATTCACTGCTCAGTTGCTTTCCCCTTCTAGGCCTCCATTTCCTGATCTGTAATAAAGGAGTACAATTCATATACATATAACATACTGTGTGGCCCACACTCTAAGTCCTGTGAAAGTTCAAAGAAATAGGAGTTCACCGATGTCTGGTAGGAGCAGAGAAGGCTTTATGGAGGAGGTGAAATTTGAACCCTGAAGGATGGGCAGGTTTAGAGGAAGGGGGTCATCAAGAGAGCAAGGGAGCCCATGTCTTACCAGTCTCTTTTTCCTTGCAGGTTTCAGAAGGAGCCACTTTTAGGCCATTGCCCTTGGCAGTCTTCCTCAGCTGGAAACCTTTCCTGATGTCAGCTAGGAGGGCGTCGATGACACATACTTCCTCCTGTTTCACCGTTCCCTTCCGTACTACAGAAATCCCAGAAGTCCCCCAGTTACCCCACAGATAGAGCCTGCTCAGCCCTGAGCTCTCTGGGACCAAAAGATACAGCATCTGCCTTTTGGGAGCCCCAAGTCTGAAGACGAGGAAGGAGATATGACCTCTGCCCTCCAAAAGTCCCCAAGGGGAGAAAGGGAATCTAAAAAGGATGTAAGGGGTATATAGAAAGAAAATAATTTCCGGGGACTAAGGTTGTACAGGACTGAAGGGCTGCTGGAATCTCTGGAAGAATTAACCAGGGAGGGCCTTCTGTAGCAAGTGACCTTTGCAGGGAGTGGCTTTGGAAACCTTGACTCTTGGTCTTGGGTTAGAAAAACTGGGCTAGGGCTTGAAGAGTAGTAGGGGGAGAGAATTTCTCCCTACCCTGTAGTCTAAGCTGCTCACTTGGCCCAGATACCCCATGGCCCTGGTCCCCCTGCTTACTGATCTTCCCATCTTCTCCCCGGAGCCTTTTAGCTTCTTCAGCCTCCAGCTGCTTCTTCCTCTTCTCTGCCTTCACAGCCTGCTCCTTCCAGTCCTTGTTCTCCTGATAACAAAAAAAGAGAGAAGGGCCTCATCCGCCACTGAGTCTCCAGGGGCATGGGCTTGGGGCTTTGGGTTTTGTCAGATGCCTATTTATAACATCCTAGAATATCAGAGGTCTTACAGACCATCTAGTTTAGCACTCTTATTTTCAGAAGAGGAAGATGAGGCCAAGAGAGGGGAAACTACCTGCCCAAGGTCACACAGCAAATTAATGAGTCTAGAACACGGGCCTCCTGATTTCCAGCCCTGCTTGTCTCTCAATCACTCTGCTAGGTTTCTGTTCAGTTGTCTTGGTGTCCCATATAAGTATGCCTGTATGTTCCTCTGAGATGGTGAGTGCCCTGATGGCAAGAACCATTTGTGCATAGTTCTCCTGTGTCAGTGTGGCACTGAGACATAGTAAGTGCTTAATAAATGCTTATTGACCAAGATGGGAAGGGATCTCATTTGCATAGATTTATTCAGATGGTGATCTCTCCTAGGGCCGAGCAGAGACCACAATGTTTATGTCCTTCTGTCTGTCTGTCCAAGATAGGCTGGGAACCTGAATCCATAGCTCTGTCTGTCTGACTCAGTGGGCTCCCTGAAGGCAAGGGCTGCGACTATGGAGTCCTCTCTGTCTGAGATGAGCAGGCACCACGTCAGCATGGCTCTCTCCAGTGGTGCCCAGCCTGGCACCTCAATCTAGGTTGAGCTGATGATGCTGGTATGAATGCCACAACTTCTTGGGTGCATAAAAGAGAGCCTGTGAGGAAGCGGGGTGATGCTCCCTGATGCTGAGACAATCCTTCAGGTAGAGAAAATAATTCGATGCAAGTTGTCAGATTAAATAAAGAAGCCACTATGGTCATGCAGGCCATTGATCTCATTATCACAAGTGCCCCAGGAATCCAGAGCTCCCCGTGACAACTTTGGAGTGGAACGGGAAAGATTTTATTGGTATAGACAATTCCAAGTGTGGAAAGTCCCTCTACTGATGCGAAGGGGGAACTCATCTATAAGTTATAGCCTTGGAGGGTTGTCTGAAGACACTGAGAGGTGAAGGAAGATGAGCCCACAGATAGAAAGTGTCAAAGGCAGCATTTAAATCTAGGGCTTTTGGACTTCAGGGCCAGCCCTCTATCTACAATGCCGCAGTGCCTCTCAACTAATATTAGATCCCATTTCTATAAGTGAACAACTATTCCCATTTACATGGTGCTTTATCGTTTATGAAATGTATTCTTCATAACTTTATGAGGCAGGCTGTGGAAATATTCTTATTCCTATTTTACAGAAGAGCCTCAGAGACAGGAAATGATGTGCCTAAGATAACTTGGCTAGTGAGTGAGTATCAGAGCCAGGATTCCAACCCAAGTCCTTGGACACAATGCAAGCTGGGAGTTCCGTACTAATTCTGCCACCAGTTCCTTGTGAAATCAGGCAAGTGGCTATCAAAGTTTCCTGAGCTGCAAATATGGGGCTTAGAATCTTTGGGATGTTGTGAAGCTGAAATGATATAAGAGATGTGAGAGGGCTTGAGGAAGTTACAAGTAGCCTATAGATGTCAAAGATCGTTATTATGGCATATCTTGCTTGTTTTTGTATCCCCAGCGCTTAGCACAATGCCTTACACACTGGTGTTATTGTTGAGTTGTGTATGACTCTTCTTGACCCCATTTGGTTTTTTATTGTTAAAGATACTGAGGTGGTTTGCCATTTCCTTCTCCAGCACATTTTACAGATGAGGAAACCGAGGCAAACAAGGTTTGCCCAGGGTCACACAGCTAGTAAGTGTCTGAGGCCAGACCTGAACTCGGGAAGATGAGTCTTCCTGACTCCAGGTCCAGCACTTTATCCACTACACCACCTAGCTGCCCTAAGTCAGTGCACACAGTCAATGCTTAATCAATGCTTGTTCTATCTATCCATCTATCTATCCATCTTTATTGGAAGTGCAGGGTCTCAAAAGTGCCCAATAAATGTTCTTTGTACTCAGCAAATACCAAATGGATATGGATGCAATTTGAATTTTTTATTCACAGCACTGCATTAAAGTTTTCCCTTGTTCACAGGACACTCACCTTCATGGCTCTGATGAAGAGTTCTCGAAATGTCTTCATGGTGCTGAAGGTGTCCTCCAGGGAGAGCTTGTGGGCGTCCTCACAGAGGTAGTCAGCCAGCTCCACCTTCTTCCTCTCAATGACCTTAAACTCTTCCTCTAACTCCCTGGAGGCTGAGATGCTATCCTGGGGAGAGTCATTCATTCACAGTCCAGCTGTGCCTGAGGACCCCCTCAGACACCCCGCACATGAGTTGCAGAACCCCTGCAGGACCCGATCTGCTTCCTTTGTCCCTCCCACACTGTGAGTTCCCTTAGGCAAGGCCCAGGTCTGCTTGCTGTTGGGGAAACAGCGGAGCTGAGCATTGACTTGGTCATACAGGGAGAATGGAAGCATTAGTGGGTGGAATTCAGGAAAGACTTGCCAAATTGCTTGAGTGCCTTAGCACCCAGGGCACTGGACTTTCCCATTCCTTTTCATATTACTGTCTTTCTCTGCCTTTATGTTTATCTGTCTCCCCAGTTTCTATCCATCTCTGGTCTGCTCCAAAAGCTACTCTCCCAATAAAACACATACTGGCCTGTGCCTCATTTTGACTGTGCCCAGCACCCAAGAGTTTACACCCACCTCCCCCATTCGGCCTAAAGCTTCAGCTGGTGGTCACTTGCCTGGAGGGGCTTTGCATACTGCTCCTGAACCTCAGGAATCCCTGAAGATACCTTCTGCTCCATCTCCAGCAACTGCTTCAGGTTAGTGCTGGCTTCCGAGTGGATGACATCAATATTGATCCTGAGAGTTAGTGAAAGGGGTGGGGCGGAAGAAAGACCTCATTATGAGACCACAGGTCAGGGATCACCTGGTGTAAAAACTGGAAAGGCCTATTTCCTCTCTCCTGATATCTGCTCTCCCCACCCCCCATATTACAGATGAAGAAACTGAGGACCAGAGAGGGCAGTGATAACAATCAAAATGTAACACCTAGAGATCAATAATTACACCACAATTTCCCCCATACTGTCAATTGTACAGATGGGGAAATGGGCCTATTTTGAGAATAGTGTGTGTGTGTGTGTGTGTGTGTGTGTGTGTGTGTGTGTGTGTGTGTTTTGGTAAGGCAATCAGGGTTAAGTGACTTGCCCAGGGTCACACAGGTAGTAAATGTCAAGTGTCTGAGACTAGATTTGAACTTAGGTCCTCCTGACTCCAAGGCTGGAGCTCTATCCACTGTGCCATCTAGCTGCCCCTATAATGTGTTTGAAAGCAGAATATGGCACAGAATGTCAGCTGGAAAGGAACTCAGGAGGATATTTAGTCTAACTCATTCATTTTTTAGAGAGGAGAAAACTGAGGCCCCTCCAAAACAAGGCACTTGCCCAATGAAAGCCACATTGGCAGTTCCAGGATTAGAACCCAGGTCTCCTGACTCCCACTATAATGATCTTTCTAATGGCTGCATGCTCTCCCAGATGTAAAGGATTCTAATTCCATTAAAGCCATTTCCCAAGGTCTTATGGGGAAATTGTTCATTTACAATCCAAATGTAGGATCAATAAATGATTGAAAATGCTTTTCTTTTGGCTGATACCAAGGGAGCCAGGTACAGCCATGCTCTTCTCCTCTCAGACATGGGAGCCATAGCAACGGTGAGGGAAGTTTCTTACCCTGCTGCCCGGGAGATGTGCTCTAGGTCACTGGGGAGCTGCAGGAGGTCAGGGTAATTTTTTTCCACTTCCTGGAAAAGAAGGAACATTTCAGCATCAATAAAGGCGAGGACAGTGTCTTATCTACAGCAAAAATCTTCCCCAGCACCCAATACAGTGCTCTACGTATAACAGGCACTTAATAAATGTTTTTTGAATTGAATTTCAGCCGAAGCATCCTTTCCCTTAATGCCTCCAAACCCCAGCTCCAATCTGAGTAGACTGGCCACTAAAGAGAGAGCTGCCATATTCCCTGAGCCTGACTGATCTGGACATGAGTCCCCTCTCATGGCTCTTCACCCCTAGTATGAACCAGATATCCATTCATTTCTAGAAAAAAATTATTTTTAGCAACATTGCCTTGCACCATTTTTCTCACAAAGCCCCAGCCCCTGCCCCTCTGAGGTACCCCACCCCCAGCCTATTTGTGGAGAAGGTCCATCTGGATGTCTGTTAACTGTGGCTAGTCCGTCCACCCGATCTTCCTGGGGTATAGTCAGCTCAGCTTGTCTCAGCTCTGAACTCCAGGAAGGGCAGAGACTGGTGCCATGGAATTCAGAGGACACTCCTTGTATCGCATCTGGCACAGTGAGCTTGGCCCCCCAAAGCTTTCTGGTGACTGCTCACGAATGTTAGAGCTGGAAAGGATGGATGCTGGGGACCACTTAGTCCAACCTCCTTGCTGTACAAAAGGGGAAACAGGCCCCGAGGGGAGGAGAGCCTTTCTCTAGGTCAGAACCAGTGAAGTGCCAAGCCACTGACTCACCGAGGGCAAGTCTGGGCTTTTAATTCCTCATCTCTAAAATGGGGATCTTGAAAAAAAAAATTGATGCTTTTTGTCTTTGCATCACAGTTATTTCCCAGCCTCACGTTAGATGAAATCTTCTTGTGACATTGTGGGGAAAACAAAAGCAAATCCATCCCGTATCATGACCGTGTTTGTCAATGTGCACCATAGCCTGTCCTGGTCCAGAGGGCCTGTAAGGTCTCCTCCCCCTCTAACATGCTACAATGCTGTGAAGTGAGTTTGCAGAAGCTGAGAAGTTAGGACACTGGCAGGGAGACAGCAAAGAGAATAGGGAAGCCTGACAGTGGAGACTTTATGCTCCTACGCTTTGACTTCTATAGGAGGGCAGTGTGGCCCTGTGGGTAGAGCTCTGTCCTGAAAGTCCAGAGAACTAGATTCAAGCCCTGCCTCTGACACATACTGGCTGTGTGACCTTGGGTAAGTCACTTAACTTCTCATCGTTCGAGGCAACTCTCTCAGACCATAGAAAGTGCCAGTCTATTTTGTTTGGGGTTTTTTTGGCTTTTTGGTGAGGCAATCAGGGTTAAGTGACTTGCCCAGGGTCACACAGCTAGTGAATGTTATGTGTCTGAGGCTGGATTTGAACTCATGTCCTCCTGACTCCAGGGCTGGTGCTCTATCCGCTGCGCCACCTAGCTGCCCCACCAGTCTACTTTGGCTGAGGAGCTAGTCGCCTCTCAGGAGTTCCCTACACCAATCAAATCACAAGTCTGATAAAAAACAACAACAAAAAAAAAAACAATCTTTTTATCGAGTAGCAGTTATGAATGTGGAGAATTACGCTCCCACCAGAGAATGTTTGGCAAAGGCCTCCAATCCTACCTCCAGGATGTGGTGTAGCAGGGTCACCCGGCTCTGGTTGGCCTTGGTTTCTGTGAGTTTGAGCAGGGTACTGATCTTAAAACCGTCAGCATCTCCTGTATGACTCCCCTGGAAGAGATCAGGAAAACCATCATTAAGGCTCCCGTAGACAGGGAGGAGGCAGGACAGTTGCTGTGGTATGTAGTGGGCTGGTGGGCAACTTACATAGTTGAGGAAGTTTCCAATTTTGAGAATCAGTTGACAGAAAATGGGCAAACGCTGACTGGTGAGGAGACCTACGGAGCAAGGGATGTTTTTAATGATTCAGTTCTGGGAACAAATCTAGTTTCCAGGTGCCCAAAAAAGCCAGCAGGAGTTTGCTAAGGATGGGCTGGGTGACGGTGTAGCTGTCCTCATGGGTCAGGGATATTCCCAAACATAATCCATATCCTTTAATAACCTCTTACTGGTCTGTTATCAGGAATTTAACTAAATACTTCTAGAACTGGCTGATATTCCTCCATGAAACAATTCATAGAATCATAGTACGTAGAATTGGGGGTGGATTTCAAGATCAATTCATTTTATAGACGTCATAAACTCAGGGTCAGAGGGCTTGAGTGACATGACCAGGGTTATGGTAGGGAGTAGCAAGCCTGGAGTCAGAAAGACTTGAGTTCAAAAGTAGCCTCAGACCCTTACTAGCTGTGTGACCCTGGGCAAGTCACTTAACCTCTGTTTGCCTCAGTTCCTCATCTGTAAAATGGGGATACAATGGAGAAGAAAATGGCAAACCACTCCAGTATCTTTGCCCAGAAAATCCCATGGACAAAAGTCCATGGGGTCCCAGAAAGGTGGAAATGACTAACAACTGAACAACAGGAAGCAGATATGAAATTGATCTTTCCTTCCTTCCCTCCTTCTGTCCTTCCCTCCATCCATCCCTTCTTCCTTTCTTTATCTTTCTTTCTTTCCTTCCTTCTCTTTCTTTCTTTCTTTCTCTCTTTTTTCCTTTCTTTTGTAAGAATTGAATAGAGGTCTTGTGAATCCAGAACCAGCGTTTTTTTTCACTACTGTATCAAAAAAAGAAAGAAAGAAAGAAAACAAAGTCCAAATTCTTATCATTGAGGGGTTAACGTGCTAGTTCATATCTCCTCCTGAGGTGGGCCTGTGTGGGATATGGAATGTTATGTTCTCTCATTTGCCCTCAAAATGTTTATTTTAAATCTTGCCACTCCCTGTGTAACCTTGGACAAATCCCTTAATCTCCCTGGGCCTCAGTTCACTCATCTGTAAAACAAGGGGGCTGGACTAGAAACCCTGTGAGGTTCCTTTCAGTTTTAAATCTATGGTCCTAAGGGAGAAGGAAAATGGGGGAGAGACTCCAGTTCTAGCTTCTGAGTTTTAGTAGCCACAACTATTATATTTCTTGATCTATTTCCTTACAGATTTTACTTGTGTCCTCTCTCTGTTTCTATTTTTCAGACTGAAGAAGTGATAGCTTTTGAGCCCATATCCATACAGTTTTGGGGTCCACCCATGAGTGCCACCCTGTGAGCCCCCATGGCTCCACTTACCCTCACAGGCCCTGCGGATGACCTCAGCTTTGGGTCGGATCATGTCCAGTATGATGACTGTCTCTTCACAGAGCAGCATGCACTCAATCCGAAGCTGGTAGCTAAAATGGGGAATTAGTGGGGACATAGGTCACAGCTCCTATATGGAAATATAGGTAATAGGCTAGATGGAATATATGATATATGTGGAATATATGGAATAAATATGGAAGTAGGTACGTGGTTCCCCATACTGGGCTCAGCTCCACTGGGAGCCACAGATTCTCAGAGCTGGAAAAGACCTGAGTGGTCCTGTAGTCCAATCCATACTTGAACAAGAAGTCCCACAACTTCCGTAACATGGTCATTCAGCCTCCTCTTGAAGACCTCTAGTGATAGGGAGCTCGCTATTTTCTAAGACAGATCATTCCACTTTATGACACTTAAAAAGTTTCTTCTTTAAACTGAGCCAAAATCATCCTTTCTGCAACTCTCTCTCCCTTTTCCCTTTTCTATTGCTTTGGATTTTGCCCTCTGGGGCCAAGAAAAACAAATCTAACCCTTTTTTCCAAATGATAGGCCTTTGAATATTTTAAGATAGGGAGAATATCACTCCCAAATCATTTCTTCTCCTGTTTCCCTTTTCCCCTTGGGATACACTCACCCTACCTACCAAGGCTGTGTCCTGATACTTACGATGTATCAGGTAGATTTCCAGTGTTTTTGACTATGCTTTGTACTCCTTTGATAGGAGGAAGATATGAGTGAACAAAAGTGTTTTGAAATACTCACCTGTTCTTCCCCACAGCTCCCCCAGTGTTATTAGAAGGCATTCAGATTGGCTAAGAGTAAGGCCAAGATTAGGAGAATGGACCAATGAGCTTAGTCCAGACAATATATAATAGGTGGATGAATTTCAAATTTAACTAGGGAGGAGACCATTCTAGTCTAGGACCATGAAGGGAACAGATGGTCCCAGGCCAAGGGAGAATCTGGACTGGTCTAGAAAACTTTATTTAATGATTAGACTAGAAATCATAATGCCATTTAGTCTCAGGCTAGTGAATTTTATTGTATATACACATCTAATGACTTTCCCCTGGTGTGTTATTTCTGAATTTGCATATTATTTCACCCTGTATGAACAAGAACAAGAAAAGGTACTTGTAATGTCTAGAATATGTGGAATTGAGGAGGAAGGAAAAAGGAGAAGCAGGGAGGGGCTAGGAAGAGGCATCCAAAGGTGGATGCAGCAATATGTGAAAGGAGAAGGTAACTAGAACTTGGATGCTACTAATTTCAGAGTCTACAGGAGCAAGCTAGCTCAGAGGCCAGGAAGGTCAAGGGGTTGGGCCCTTTGATGAGGGATCAAGGAAGGTTTAGAAAGTAGTGAAAGGCTGTGGCTAAGGTCCTCTGGACCAGTTCTGAGAAGAGCCAATGGTACTCTAGGAAGCTGACCATGGGGTCAGCAAGTTCTAAAGCCAACGTAGGCCCAAGCTTGTTTGGCTTTGATTAATTTGTTAATAGCTAGATGTACTGCACATAATCATAGAATCTTACAGTATCAGAACTGGTAGAGACTCAATAACAAAGAACTCAGAAAGTCAGAGTTGGAAGGGCCATTGCAGACCATTCTGGAGGAAGAAATGGAGGCTCAGAAAGGAAGGGAATCTTGGTCAAGGTCCCAGAGCAACGGAGCAAGGAACTAAAATCCAGGATTTTCCACCTATCTGCCTGTCTGGGGTGCTGTACAACACACCATGAAACAGGAGATGATGGGAAAGTCCAGAATCTGTCAGCATCAATGCCTGATGGCTAAACCTATATAAGTCTTAGGACTATAGATCTGGAGTTATAAGGGCCTTTAGAAATGGCTCTAACTTAATATAATAACAATGTTCTTGGAAAGAAGAATACAAAACATTTTTTTAAAACAAATCAAATTTTAAACATTGTAAGAAAAGTGTTATTTTAAGCCTGTGGCAAATTCCATTCCTTTATTTATCTGCTTTGTAAATTTGGATTTTCACACTGCTTTTTCTTAAAGTTTACCATGCATACAAGACCATGATTAAAGGAGTAATTAATGTCTTCCTGACCAGAGTCATGAACCACATCCTCTCCTCTCTGGGTTTTCATGTCACTGCTCTCTCTTGGTTCTCCTACCTCTCTGGCTGTTCTTTGGGCCTCCTCTGAAGGATCATCATCTATATCCCACCCTTGGAACTGTGAGTGTCCCTCAAGGCTCTGTCCTGGGCCCTCTTCTCTTCTTCCTCTATACACTGTCTCTAAGGGATCTCTTCCATTCTCAAAGATTTATTATTATCTCTATGAAGATGACTCCCAGTTGTATAACTGCCTGGAAGACCAAACCCACTAGATGGGCTGTAGGTACTTTAAAGGCAATATGTCCTACAGAGAACTCATTATAATCTTTCCTCCTTGGCCTACCTTTCCCACTTTCCTAACTTTCCTCTTTTTGGGGAGGACACCTTGGTCAGGCAGGTTTCAAAACCTCAGTCATTCTTGACTCTTCACTCTCCCTCACTTCTCATGCAGAATCAATTGCCAAATCTTATTTATTTTTAACTCCCCAACATTTCTCTCCTACATATACCCATCCAGCCACCACCCAGTTCAAAGCTAGCCTCCTGATTGTTCTTCCTGGCTTGAGTCTCCAATCCATCCTTCACACAGCTGCCAAAGTGATATATTCCTAAAGCACAGCTCTGACCATGTCACCCCCTTGCTCAGAAGCTCCAGTAGCTTCCAGTTACCCCTAGGATCAAAGACAGACTCCTCTGTTCAGTATTTAAAGTCCTTCACCAACTGGCTCCAGCCCATTTTTCTAGGCTTATTGCCTGTTACTCTTTTTCCACACGCTGCTTGTTTTTCAGCCAAACAGGACTCTCTTATTTCTAGGTCCCCATCTTTGCAGAGTTAGTCCTTCATGTCTAGAATGCATGCCTTCCTCTACTCTGACTCTTAGAATCTCTAGCTCCCTCTTAAGCTCCCACTGAATGTCACCCTCCTATGGGAGGACCTTTCCTGACCATACCTACCCACCTACCAAGACATCTCTGAAGTTATTTGGGACCTTCTGCATATATATATATTGTATGTTTTTTTAGAATGTAGGCTGCCTCAGCACAAGGACTTTATATCTTTTTCTCCTCAGCATCCCTGTCCCAAACTGGATGCTTAATAAATGCTGGTTGATCCCCAATCTAAATCTCTCTCATTCTGGGGAGTTAAGACCCACGAGGCTCTAACAACTGTGTTGTTAGAAGGATAAGCTTACAGAAGGCAGGGGAATGGCTCAGTTCTGTGAAGCGCTTACCTGGGAACATCGAGGAGGAGGAGATAGAACTGGTCAGCACTGGCTAACTTGGCTTTCTCCTCTTGGAATGATTTCAGATTTTCTATCTGGTAAAGACAGAAACCATGAAGAGATGAGGGCTCCTCACCCTAGGAAGATTCAGGCCCTGGTAGCCCAAACTACCGGCGGCAGCCCCTCCTCTACCTCCCCAGAAGCATCTCTGTTCTCCAAACCCTGTGTGTTCCAGGGAGTGTCCCCTGATCTCTCCTCAGCCCTGCTCTTACTCCTACAGTTCTTCTGACTAAATAGCATACCCTGCTTCTGGATCACATTTTGCCCCCTTTTAATTTAATAAGTGATCCGTGTGTGCTCACACACATGTGCGTGTGTGAGATTTCCCCTTTAGATTGTATGCTCCTCGAGGGCAGGGCTCCGTCTTTGTTTCCTCCAGACCATGCAACCTTAGGTCTTGGCTAGGAGCTTTTCTTCTCATTTGTCCCCGTTGTGTGGACAAGCATAGGACTGAACAAATAGAGGCTTTGAGAATGTTACTGGGCATCCTCTTATTGAAAAGATAAAGTCAAGAATCCTTTTCACCAGCACAACTTACTTCGTGCTTCTCGGGGAGCAGTTTGAGGAGCTGTTTCAGAACTTCCACATCAAACCTGGTCCTGTCACCTCTCCGGATCATGTCTGTGATCTCCTCATTGGAGCTGTAGAAAGGGCAGTTAGGTGTGAGCTCAACACTCCACTCAACAAAGCCATGACTGGCCCCATACGGGCCTCACTGCTAAGGAAGTAATCAAGAGCAGAGAATATCTCACAGTCACAGAGAGACAGTCATAGCCTCTAAGTTGGAGGAGACCTCAGAATCTATCTGGGCCTAGAGTTGACTAGTTCAACCACAGATTGTCCTCTCCCCTGGAATCCCTTGCCCCCCTGTCCTATTGCCCCTCAAACCCTGTCTACCAAATAGGTTCCTGCACCATTGCTCCTACCTCTCCCCCTGCCTTATCATTATATACTGCTATCCTGGAAAGTAATTTGGAATTGTGCCCCCAAACTTACTAAACTTTGCATACCCTTTGATGCAGCTATGCCCCAATTAGGCTTATACCCTGAAGAGATCAAAGAAAGACGGAAAAGACCTACAGGTACACAAATTTTTATAGTATTTGTGTGTGTGTGTGTGTGTGTGTGTGTGTGTGTGTGTGTGTGTGTTTGTGTGTGTGTGTGGTGGCAGAGAACTGGAAACTAAGGGGATTCCTATCAATTGGGGAATGACTCAATAAATTATGGCACATATAACTGTGCTATAAGAAATAATGAAGGGGATGGTTTCAGAGAAACTTGGGAACCCTTATATGGGAACCCTTATACAGAATGAAGTGAGTAGAACCAGGAGAACAATTTATACAATATCAACAAGACTTTGAAAGTCTTAAGAATTCTAATCTCTACAATAACCAGTCAGATTCTAGAGGACCCATGATGAAACATGCTACCCATATCCTAAAAGAGAGGTAAATAGATTGAGACATATATTTTGTGGACATTTCCAAAGTGGGAATTTGTTTTGCTTGACTATGTATATTTGTTACAAAGACTCTTCTTTTCTTTTTTTAAGTTGGAGGAGGGACTGGGGAGAGAAAAGTTTTTTGGTCATTGGAAAAAATAAATTAAATTTTAAAAAAACATTGTATGCTGCTAGAGGAAGTTGCAGAACTATGTCTCTTTCCTCTCAAAAGATGTCCTTCTTCATATTTAACTGAGAAAACTGAGGCCATCTGCTATGAACTCTCTCTTCTTCCCTACTCTCCTCCTCAAAACTCATCAACGATACTCCTCATTTTCTCTTCCTTAGATCTAGTCTCTAAGAAAGAGATCAAAGGCTCATAGGATCATAGATTCAAAGTTGGAAAGGATCTTAGAGTTGGTTCAATCCTATGCTCATTTTACAGTTGAAGAAACTGAGGCAGATAGCGATTAAGTGACTTGCCCCGGGTCACACAGCTAGTAAGTATCTGGATTGAATTCAGCTGTAGTGTTCTGTCTGCTGAACCACCTACCCTCCTGTCTCCCTCCAGGAGTTTGCCTTTTGGGTCCTTCAGATTCTCATTCATCTTCTCTTGCTCCTCTCTCTTTCTTTCATCTTATTCTTCCTCCCACCCCACCCTCTAAGCATCATTTTATCTATTAGATCCTTCCCCACTGGCTACAAACTGGCTACCTGGAAAGAAGTCTCTTCTATCACAAACCCAAATATTAATCAGGGATTCTGTAGGATAGACTCCTGTTCCAGAGTTGTATTTTAATAGGTAGGTGTTTCGGGAAGACAGAAAGTTCTTCAAAGGAAAAGGAAACTGAAGGCTAATGGTGGCATTTCAGGTGCTGTGATAGTCAGGCCTATGGTGGAGACTTCCCACATGCGTGCTTTTGGTGACAAAATTTGGCCTACCCTTGACTTCAACACTTACCATTTGAATTGCTTCAGAAAAATGTTCAGATTGAGACTTTTTTTGGCATCTAGAAACGTAATCTGGGAAAAGAAAACAAAGTCCAACCTTCAAAGGAGGGATCACATGAGAAATAGCATGAGGCAGTAGAAAAAGCCCTGGGCTGCATGATCTTAGGCAATTGTGAGCCTCAGTTTTCTCATCTACAAAACAGGAATGATAACCTTGTTCTATCTGCAGGGCTATTGAAAAAAAAAACCACTCTGTAAACTCTGAAGCACTTTCCAAACGGGAGCTGCCCCTCCCCCTATCCTCGGCCAGTGCCCCCAGCCAAAGTACCTCTTTGGGCTCCTTCTTGGCTGGAGCTGCCTCCTTCTCCTTGGGTTTCGTGATTGGGAAACAGAAAAGCTGCTCAATGCTGGTATAATCAGGTTCCATGTCCTCACTGCTCAGGCTACTCACTGATGCCCACATTGAGTGACTGTCTGGAAGATATGAGAGGAAGCAGAATGTCAACTCGAAACAGTAGTGTGAGAAGGAAAGACAGCATGAAACATACCTTCCACCCATTGGCAGAAAGGTGATGGAATAGAGGTACAGATCCATTCTCAGGCACGGTGAGTGTGTTGATATGTTTTGTCTGACTATACTTATTTGTTTTAAGGAAGCACTTTTACTGGCGGGGGACAAGAAGGGTGGGAAAATGGGTTAATGAGGAAAAAGAAAAAAAGTTATATCCACAGAAATTAATTTAACTCTCAATCATCATTAAAAAATATAAATGGTTATACTGGATGCTCAATATTCAATCAATAAATCAATCCATAAACATTTATTAAGCACCTGCTATGCATCAGGTACTGTGCTAAGTGCTAGACATACAAAAAGAGGCAAAAGACAGTCCCTGCCCTCAAGGAGCTTACAATCTAATGGAGGAGACAACATGCAAACAATTCTATACAAAGCAAGCTATATACAGAACAAATAGAAAATAAAAAGAGAGTAAGCACTGGAAACAGGAGGGGTTAGGAAGGCTTTAAGTTATGAATAAAACATTTGATGAAATGAAACAGTCCTCACTTAACATTGGTGGGAATAATATGAGGACCATGGAATTTCAGAGCTAAAAGTGGCTATCTAGTCCAAATCATAAATTTAAAAGGACCCCATCAATATACCTAACAAGTGAGCATCCAGATTCTATTTGAAGACCTCTTCTAGTAAGATGGAACCAGAGGTATGCTGGAGCCAGCTTGAAACAGCTGGGAGAGTTGGTAAATTTCCAGTGAGCATTTATGACTTGGAAATTTCCAAACTCTACAGATCAAGGCTTGATTTATTGTTTTGTCATCTGTCTAGACCAGAGGTTCCCAAAGTGGGAGATACCACCCCCTGGGGGATGCTGGAACAATCCAGGGGGGTGGTAGCAATCTCGGGTGCAATTGGAGGGCGTTGAATAAAAATAATGGGGCAGTGGAAGCATAAGGAAGGAAGAGAAGATGATAAAATTTTGAAAAACCATTTGTACGTGTTTCATCTGTTGTGTAACAGAGTTATAGTCATAGTGATTGCATTATTTTCCAACTGGAAAAATTGATCCATTTTAGCTTGATAAAATAACGAGAAGTTTAGGACTATCCAGTTTGAACCTGGGAAGTTTTTAAAAATTCCCACTCTAATGGCATTCCTCTAGTGTGTTATTGCAAAATCTCTTTTCTCTTGTCAATAAATGCTAGAAAATACATAATTGTGGCTTAGAATATGTGGAAATGGGGTTTAAAGTGAAAGATGGAGAAGCTGTCAGGGCAACCAGTTATTATGGAAGTCTTGGAGGAAGGGGAAAAGGTTACTGGAGAATAGGACTGAATATCTTTAAGTCCAGGATACCAAGCAAGTAGTCTAAGGGACCAAGAAAGTTAGAGAGTTTCGGGCCTGCCTTGGAATGATGTTCAGAAAAAGCTTTAAAAAAAAAAAAAGAAAAAAAAGAATGAAAAGGTAAAAATCCTAGGGTGGAAGGCAAAGGACTTCTAGATGAGCTCAAAGGAAAAGGTGGTGTCTCAGGACGTTGATGTGAGCCACTGAGGACAGGAAACCATGGCAACCACCTGGGGAAGTCCCTTTAGACAATCCAGTCTCAAAAAAAGTTTCAATACCTCTGAAGGAAAAAACAACTAACCTAACCGGCATGGGAAAAGATAGCCTGGCCTACATGGCACAGAACTAGAAATACTGCTCCTGTCATAGATGCGATGTAACAGTTTCTACCAATTCTTTGCATGACCTACATTGATCACTAAGTACAGACTCCCAAGTATACCATCTCATCCTTCTGTAACTTCTGATGGCAGTGATCTGGTACCAAACTGCCATCACAAAGCCTTCCATTTCTACAAATGAATTCACATGATTTAGTCATTTGTCAATATATCATTGGCTAAGTTCATGCAGGTGTCACTTGTAGTGTTGAGGTTTAGATGCTAGGGGTGCTGGGACCCCAAAATTTCGACACATGGGTCCTGCAATAATTTGACCCAAGCCTTTTTTCAGCCAAAGACAAGATGAGCCAGATAAGTCAGACTCTTAAGGAATCTGAAAATTTGTGATGCTCGTAAGGACAAGCGGGCATGAGGAAGCCTCAGCCCCTAAATGGTGTCCAGGATGGATCTTATATACACCCAAGTAGTTTGGGGTGACCAGAGGAGGGGCTGGGAGGAGGATCTTGAAGCTGGGGTGACTGGGGAAAGGGTCCTGGGAGAATCCCAATGGGAATGTCTGGGAGGTTGAACGGGGCATCTCGGAATAGACGATGGAGGGCTAGGCTTAATTAGGGTAACAAAGAACTGGGAGATTGGGCCTAGAAAGGAAAGGCCAGTTGAGTGGATTATAGTCTCAGACAACCACTTGCAACTTCTCTGACCACGTAAATGAGTTCAAGGAAAGTTTAAGGGTTTTCTGGGGCCCATAGACAAATGGAACCCAAATTCTTTTTGGGTGAGGGGCGAAAGTCTCGGCTTGGGCTTGTACCCCATCATTAGGGACCTTTTGATTCCATTCTTGGATCTTAACCATGTCATAGGTGCCATCTTGAAGTAAACCACTTTCAATTACACTCAACAAATTCAGTGGTAGGTACCTGTTACTAGCCTTTACTATTGTTTGGTCAAGTGACGCCTATGGGTCCCAAAAGTATTTCCGAAGGCTTCTGACCTGGTTTTTATGTGCTCTAAGAGTGTCTGTCACTTTTATTCCTCCTTTTCGGCGAGGAAATATTAATCTTTCTATAGCTTCTTCAGAACAATGATCTTTGAGTTTCATTAATCTTGTATGGGGTTTCTGCTTAGTATACTTGCCAGATCTCCTATGGACAATTTTACTATGGATTGAGAACAGGATTTGGAGGCAGAATATCTGAAAAATCTTGTCCTTTGCAATTACTAGCTGTGTGACTGGGAGCAAATCACTTTTTCTTTCTTGAGTTTTATTTCCTGATCTCTAAGCACAGCAAAATCTGTAGTACTTATCCCACAGGGTTGTTATGAGGCTCTAATGAAATTGTTTACATCTCTGCTAACTTTTGCATCTTTGTATACCTTAAGATGCTATGTACATGTCAGCTAATAGTCACCCTAACAACAGTAATAATTTGTGCACCATTAATATGGTGAACTTCCTCCGTGGAAGCTGGTAAAGTTCTTTCCTAGTAATTCATGGGCCACTGAGCTTTTAATTATGGCTTTTATCTGGCCCTCTTGCTTTCTAGTTTTGCAGAGAATCAATAATCATCTTCTCCAATGTAATTGTTCTCTTGCTCATTAGATATAGGCTTGCCCATAGTCACACAGCTAGTAACTGCTCAGAGTGGGATCTGAACCCAGACCTTCTTGATTCCAAATCCAATATCCAATCCACTGGGCTCTATTACCACTCCATACTACTGTGAATTATGTAGTTTGGCAACATGTTGTGTGGCTATTGTCCAAGAACTACCCTTAGGGCAGAAAGGTCCATCTCCAAGGGTTGGCTTGAGAGGAGGAATGTTTTCAACCACAGTTAACTCATGAAGCCATCCACTAAGCCACGGATTCTTAACCTGAGGTCCATGAACCTTTTTTTTTTTAAAAGTATTTTGCTAACTATTCCAATAATGAGTTTCCTTTGTAATCTTATGTATTTATTTTATTCATTTAAAAACATTATTCTGGAAAGGAATCCATAGGCTTCATCAGATTGCCAAAGGGACTCATGGAATAGAAAAGGTTATTAATCCCAGAACTAAAGGATGGTAGAGATCAATGTTGGTGAAAGGAGGACTCATACTGGTGAAAACGACAGATCCTTCAAGTGTTGAAGTAAGTGTTGTAAACCAAAAGGGCTCTTGGGTAAATCCTTCCCTGGGGGAGGGTAATGTAAACCAGGGGTGCAATCTGGGAAAGCAGGTGGAGCCTTGCAGAGATGTGGCTGGGATGATGGCCTGATCTGCCTCCCAGCAGCTGGTGCAAAGACAACAGTGAAACTGAGGCCAAGGGGAAAGAGAAAGAAGGAGTTTTTTTATCCCTACCCCCAACTTCTGCAGCTATGGGGGACCAGCTGAGGACAGATCAAATCATGCAGATGAAAAAAGAGGAAAAACTGTAGATGAGATGGATCTTTCCTCCCTGCCTACTGCTCTGGCTGAGTCATAGGTGCAGAGGACTTAAGAGTCAGAAGAGACCTAAAATGGGGAAACTAAGGCCCAGAACAGAGAGAGGATTTGTCCAGGCCTTCTGACTCCAAATCCTCTATTTTTTCCAATAGAGTACAGTACATCTTTGCAATATGTGGTTTCTCTCACGACTTGCTCTTCCACACACTACTCCCTAGCTGCCCAGGAAGAAGCTGCCCTAATACTAGACATACCTCTTACCACATTGGAAGGGAGTTTCTGCCAGTTCAGCTTTTTCATCCTCAGAGTGGGAGGGTTCACTTTCCTGTGGGTTGGAACTCTTGCTAAACCCAGACCATGGTCCATCTGGGCAACCACTATTTCTTCAATGCCATTCATTGGAGGGGGAGGGGGGACACATGCCATACCAGGCAAAGAGGGAGGGGGAGGGATGCCACCCAGGCCAGGCAGAGGGGGAGGGGGAG